AAGATGCAGGACAACTTGGTACTCAGAAATAAGGTCACAAATCACAAAATAAGAATACATTATTCAAAAAGTTGTTCTGAGTCGGTTTATTCACATGGGGAAAAATAACCTAGTCTTTTAGGAACCCCAAGTGGATCAAAATCTAAATAAATACCTTTTTAAATTTTGCAAGAAAATATACAAAAATGTAGTCATCATATTAGGATAGGAAAGATTTCTTTTCTTTCTTTCTCTCAGTACCAGGAATCAAACTCGGGACCTTGTGCTTGCCAAGCAGGCGCAGCACCACTGAGCTACATCCCCAGCCCAGGAAGATTTCTTAATTAAGTTACAAAAAGCAAGCCATGAGCCAGGTATGGTGTCGCCCTCCTGTTATCCCAGCACTCAGGAGGCTGAGACAGGAGGATTATTGAGAGTCCGAGGCCAGCCTGAACCACATAGTGAGAACCTGTTTCAAAAAACCAAGAAATTGGGGCTGGGGATGTGGCTCAGTGGTTCTTGCCACCTGCTTTCCAAGCCAAGGTTCCAAGTTCAATCCCCGGTACCAAAAAAACCCCCAAGAAATTAATTAACTAAACCAAAACAAACAAAAAGATACAAAAAATAAAATTTAAAAAGAAAAAAAAAGATACAAAAAGCACAAGCCATTAAAAAAAAAGATGGACACGTGCTGCTACACTAAAAGCTGGCCAGGCCTGGTGGTGCACACTATAGGCAGCACTTGGGAGGCTGAGGCAGGAGGATGAGAGTTCAAGGCGGCCTTGGCTACATAGCAACAGGAGTTCCATGAGTTCGATCCCCGGTACCAAAAACAAACAAACAAAGAAAATCCTTGAAACTTACTTATGTTCACGGCCACATTTGGGACAACTTGAGCATCCAAAAGAACAGTGACAGTAAAGGATTATAATACATCTAATAAACAACAAATCAGTGAATTCACAGCACTCAGAGAAAAAAATAGGATGGAAGAAGAAAAAGCACTTTATTAAAGCAAAGAGGTAACTCATAAATGCAGAATTAACAGAATTAGAAAATAATTTTGTAAGAACCACTGCAGTCACTGAGGCAGGCTCAGTCAAGAAACACAAAAGCTATTGGATAAAAAGGTATTCAGTCTGTAAGTATCACCTACATTACTTATTAATCACAAAGAGAAAAGACACCTCCACCGGAGAAATCTACCGAACAGTGCCTTCATCAACTGCTCAAATGCGTCTTCATTAACAACAGAACAAAGGACACCATGTGTCTTCTAATGGGTCACACCCAGGGCACACTAGCATGTGCATAGAAGTGCTTAACCCAAAACAGATCACCAAGAAACAACCAGCTCCAGATTGAGGGACCTTTGCAAAACAAAGGGGCTAGACTCCTCGGAAATATCAGCATTAAATGAGCAAGCACTACGCTACACTCCCAAAGAACTGAGAAGCAGACTGGTTCCTCCCTGGCCCCCATGACACCCGACACCCGCTCAGTGGCTCTTTACTGATAATTCCACCAGCTCCTCCCTTGACACAGATGAAACAAAAACAAAGAACAGTGCCTCAGACCTAGTGTTACAGGGCATCATTTGAAACAACTGGGGAAATTAGAATATTGACTATATGTTATATAATCAATGCTAAAATTCTTTAATATGATTATTGGACTATAGCTGAAGAAGAAATGTTCCTTCACCCTGAAGTGTGAATATATAGGAACAAAATGTGACAAAGGCCACAGCTCACCCTCTAATAGTACAGTAAAATAATAGAAAATGAGCCTGTAATCCCAGCACCCTGGGAGACTGGGCAGGACGATCACAAGTTTGACCCAGCCTGGGCAACTTAGTGAGACTCCATCTCAAAAAAGTAAAATTTTAAAAAAGGCTGAGGATATACTTCAATCTCCAGTACAACAATAAATAAATAAATAAATAAATAAATAAATAAATAAATAAATAAATAAATGTATATATGTACATAAAATATAAAGCAAGGGCTGAGGAGGCTGCGTGGGACAAAGGCATAGACATCACACTCCGCACCGCCCTCCCGGCAACACTGCTCAGCAGCCAGACGCTCCAGGAGATCACCCTAGGCTGAGACTCCCGTTTCCTCCCCACCTCACCAGGGGAGGTTTCCAGAGGCTCAGCCGTGTGGCCCCCAACAGACTGTAGGCAGAGACCGAGCCACCTCCCACTCAGACAAGAAAGGGTGCACACCTGTGATCCCAGCACTCGGGAGGCTGAGGCAGGAGAATCACAGTAAGTTCAAGCCCAGCCTGGGCTGCACAGGGAGACCCTGTCTCAAAAAAACAAAAACAGGGGCCAGGGATTTAGCTCAGTGGTTCCGGTGCCTGCCTCGAAAGCGCAAGGTCCCAAGTTCAATCCCTGGTACCAAAAAAAAAAACAAAAAACAAAAACAGGCTGGGGATTTAGCTCAGTGGTTTCGCCGCCTGCTGAGCAAGCGCAAGGACCCGAGTTCCATCCCCGGTACCAAAAAAAAATAAAAAATACAAAATTAAAAAAAAACCAATGGGCTGGGGATTTAGCTCAGTGGCACCATGCCTGCCTTGCAAGTCCAAGGTCCTGAGTTCGATCTCCAGTACCAAGAAAAAAAAAGAGTAAAGCGATTCTGAGACCAAAGTGGTTCAGAACCAGTGTCAGGGAAACTGTCACCCAGGCACAGGAGGAGGCCCACACAAGGGTCTATACCACAGAAGGAGAATCAGCAGCAGCCTGAAGGCTTGGGCGCAGGAAGAGTTGATAAACTGCATGTGCCCATGCCAACATGACTGGAACTCAGAACACCACTGGGCTGGAACAGCATATGCCAGGCTGGACATGCAGTTGGGCAGAGCCTGGCCTCGAAGGGCAGTGTGGCACCAGGTGCAGGGTTCTGAAGCCTGTAACACTAGACGGTGATCATCACTCAGTGACACAGATCAGAAGAAAAAAGAGACACACAGGAACAACAAAAGCAAAGCGACTCGGGCTTCCTGGTAGGCAAGGAGGGAGAAGACTACCCAGACTGGCAGATTTATCTTTTTTTGGTGCCTGTGGTACTGGGGATTGAACCCGGAGTCTTCACACTACATCCCCAGCCCTTTTTGAGACAGAAACTCTCTAAATTGCCTAGGCGGGACTCAAACTCACAGTCCTCCTGCGTCAGCCTCCCAAATGCTGGGATCTCAGGCATGTGCCACCACACCCAGCTGGTTTCACCTGTGTCGGGAAGGTTTATCTCCTAAGTAGACAGTAGAAGCGAAAGTGTGCATTTTATACTCCTTACATTTTTTTTGTACCACTAAAACACAGCATAAGTAAAAGTAAAGAGGGCTGACAAGTGATGTTAAAAAGGGAGACAGTCTGGTGTGGTGGCAAAGGTCTGTAATCCCAGCTGATGGGGAGGCTGAGGCAAGAGGATCTTAGAGGAAACTTAGCAAGACCCTGTCTCAAAATAAAAAGGGCCAAGGATGTAGCACAGCGCTCCCTGGGTTCAATCCCCAATACTACCAAAAGAAAAAAAAAAGACTGAGAGAGACAGAGAGTGACAGACTCCATATGACTAAATAAGGAACTGCAAATTAAGAGTCTGGCTGTCTGGCTTAGGTTTCAAGCCAGGGAAACTGGAAGAATATGGATGCAGTAGCTCAGGCTTAGGAAGTCACAGAGGTGAAACACCTTGTGAGAAGGCTAAGTGTCAGGACTCAGGCTCATTCTGAGCTCCAGGGCCACAACTTTGGGGTGGGTCAGGGAGGCGACGGCAGAGAGCTGTAAGCACAGGGGCAGTCAGAGGCAGGGCCCGAGCTACGGATTATGGGACTCCCTGGATAAAGATGAGCGATCTGAGACAGGACAGGTCACCAGACCAGGAAGTGAAGGAAGATACGGGATGGAGATCCCCAGGGAGCAGAGCAGACAGGCCTTGGGGACGCTGACAGGCAGCAGAAGACAGTGAGACCATCAGAAGGGTGGGGACAGGACTCAGTCAGGGAGGAGAATACATGAGGAGCTCAGCGTGAACCGGCTCAAAGAGAACTGGAAATTCATATGATCAGATTAGCTCAGGCCCAACTCCTCGAAACCTGCCAATTCCAAGGAGCTTGTACTAGTTAATCCCAGTCCTCCTGGTCACTCCTCTTGCATTCATCTGTTCATTTCAACAAATAACTGACTGAGGACCTTATCTGTAGGCACTGAAGATGCAACAAGCAGACCCCAAGAATGCCCCTCCTCATGGTGCTTAGATCGTAGCACGAGACACTTTATCAGCTGATAAATGTAAAATCATGACTGAGATGAATGCTGAGGTGTATGGAACTCTGAGATAGCCTAGCAGGAGCTCAGTTAGGGGTGCTGAACTGTTAAGGGCCCCTCCTTTCAGCAGTGTGTACCCTGCCTCCTGATCACATTAGAAGCCCCACACACACACTTCTTTACTCTGTTTGGTTTTTTGTTTTGCAGTGCTGGGGATCTAACCCAGAACCTCATGCTTACTAGGCAGCACTCTACCTCTGAGCTACATCCCAGCCCTGTGCCTTTTCTTCTGGTATCTTCTCCAAGTAGCCAAAATAGTAGATTATCAATACATGCTTACTAATATACTAATATCTGTAGCTGAATGCCTCAGATTTTATACAAAATAAAGTCCACTGTATGGAAAAACTTCAATAAATATTTTAAATGCCATGCTATCTGTGTAAAGGAGCCCAAAAACAAAGCAAAAGGCTTCGATGAGGTAGTCTGCGTTCCTCCTCTGGCACGCCAAGCAATTCCCCTGAGGCCGTCTCCACAGTTTTCAAAGGGGGAATGAGCAAGGCATGGAAGGACCGATGCGGAGCATTCTCACCTCTAGACAGGTGGAAACACATATCATACATTCTACCGACAGCACACAGGACTACCATGTTCTGTTTGCACATGAAAACCAAAACACTCATGACAAAGCCATTGGCTGTGGAAAGAAACGCTGAGGACACTGGTAATCAGGAAGCAGCCTGAGACTACTTACATCACGAAACTGAACCTTTCCGAGTTCTCCGAGTTCACTGACGCAACAATAAGCGGCTTCCGACTGTAGAAAGAGCTGCGCCAGCGTCATCTCCTCACTCCGGAAGAGCTCACCCATGGTGGCAGAAAGGGGTTGGCTGAGTGTCTGGCTTTCACTGCAATCTGAAGCAAGAACAACACTGGCAGTCAGCTGAGGGCTGAGAGCAAAGACACGGCAGCGAGACCCTTTTACTTTGCATCTTATTTCATCTTGTTTCACCCAGTCCGTGCCGACATATCCATAACAGTTGCTTAGAAAGATGGGAGAGGAGAAATTGCAAAAGCATTGACTGACTCCTGGATTGCAGAGGATAAGATGAAGTCACTTCCTCTGCAGTCAACGTGAGGACAGAATGACAATATTTTGGGCAACTTAATGCCTAAGAACGTATCCAGATTTAAGAAAGACAGGAATTGGAAACCCCATATATCTCTTTTAAAACCCTGGACACAGTATTATGAGACAGTGATATTCAGGGTCCAGTTTTTATTTTGTTTTCTTGAGCAGGAAAAACAGAGATGCTGACGACCCTCTTATAAAAGATGTCAGCATCCTGACTGGTTTTCTCCCCTGCCTATTTCCAACAGCACTGCCCTAAAGCTACAGCTACATTGCAGTGTTTGAGCTTCCAGTCTCCTCAGAAAACACCATTTCCCCCATAAGGAATCCAAACAAATAATCATTATCTAACAAAAAGGAGCCAGCTTGCATAGGAAGCTCAACTTCAAACCAAGCGTGACAAGAACACACTGGTAATGACAAAGCAGTTTTAACAGCCAGGGCAACAGCCCTTTCCACCTCTGCAGTCTTCCATTTCTCCAGCTCATCTTCAAGATAATGACATGCCTCCCCGCCAGGTCCTCACACGCAGGAGGCAACAGAGGTTTCGTTTTTTAAGTAAAGCGGTTACCGGGTAGGAAAAACAATTGGCGCTATCAGTGGTCCTGAAACAGCAATTATTTATTCTCAATCAGATAACGTGAGCCTGAGGGTGTAACCTGGACAGCACCTAACCGCAGCCAAAATAAGAGACGACTTTTAGCGTCCCAGGGCCACCCACATTCCAAAGGAATAGGGGAGCTGTCATCAGAGGGAGGGTTAGCCCGGGGGGAGGCTGGGAGACATTTTGAGAAATCTGAACAGCACAGCCTTTCTGGCTTTGATGCTCAAGGCAGGAATAAGCCAGGATTTCTCCAGAGCTGATGCGGGCTGACCTGAAGATAGTGACAACCTGAGTCACCCACACCAGCCGCTCAGCCCGCCCCGCCCGGCCGGCGAGGGCAGAGCCCACAGCCTGGCAGCCGCCCGGTTCGGAGCCACCTACGGCTCCCCGGGTCCCCGGGCCTATCCCACCCGCAGCAGCCCAAGAGAAGGCGAGTCAGGCCGGAGCGGCTTCCGGGGGCGCGAACTGAAGCGACCAGAAACAGCGACCGTGCAGGGGGCCCGGACCCAGCGTCGCCCCGAGCCCGGTTCTGGCGGGGCCGATCCTGAGCCGGGCGCTCCTCGGCCCCTGCCGCGCTCTCGGGCCCAGGCGCGGGAGAGAGGAGCTCGCCCTGGGGCCCCGTGAGGCCCGGTTCCTCCGCCTGCCCGACGACCCCAGGCCCTCCTCAGGGGAGGGGTCTCGGGCCTCGCGGGCGTGGCCAGGAAGGGTGCACAGCGCCGCGGGACCCGTGTTCTCTGAGACCCAGAGTCCCTGCCAACGCCGGTGACTGACGGCGGGGCCCCCCAGACCCCGTCCCCACGCGCGACCCCAGGCCCGGTTCACCTGCTGCAGCAGCTCAGCTCGAGCCCTCAGCGCCGGGTGCCGGCCCTCAGCCCCCCCACACGCAGAACGTCACAGCCCCCGCCCCCTGCGCCGCCACAGGCCCCACCCCGATGACCTCACCGCCGCGGACCAATCGAGCGCGGCCTCGCCCCGTGCCGCAGTGCGGGGACTGAGACCCTGCGTGATGACGTCATCCGATCCACGGCAGGGCGCCCGGTGGGGGAGGGGCGGCAGGTGCAGAGCGGCAGGGGTCGCTGAGTCCTTGGGACCTTTGCCGCTGGCGGTGGGGGCGCACACCTTGATCCCGGCACTCTGACTGAAGCAGGAAGATTACAAATTCGAGCCTTGCCTGGGCAGTTTAGCAATTTATCGAGGTCTTGTCTGAAAATAAAAAATAAAGAGGGCTGGGTATGTAGTTCAGTGCAAAGGCCCTGGGTTCATCCCTGTACAGTACTGCAAAAAATATAATAAATAAAATAAAACTTAAAAAATTTGAAAACCCCTTTCCCTAACCTTTATCCTCCAGGCAAGAGAGAGCCTTAGAAGGGTCTCCTTGGCTTAAGTATGGAAAGCCCCTCTTTTAAAAGTCCCCAAAGCAGGGCCAGGGATTTAACTCAGTGGTTTTGCTGCCTGCTGAGCAAGCTCAAGGACCCAAGTTTGATCCCCGGTACCAAAAAAAAAAAAAAAATTCCCTGAAGCAACTACCCAAGGTTTATTTTTGTCCAAGTATTAGGAAAACCCTCGTGAACCCTATGTGGTGAAAGCAATTTTTTCTCTTGTTTAGAAGATTCTTCTGCATCCATATGACCGCGTAAGGGTTTTCAGTTCCTCAAAATTGTTGAAAAACTTTCCAAAGCAAAGCGATGCCTACTTGTTATTTTAAAAAATGTTTCTCAGAGGGGCCAGGGATTTAGCTCAGTGGTTCCCCCACTTGCCTAACAAGTGCAAGGACCCTAGTTCAATCCCCAGTACCAAAAAAATATTTCTCAGATATTAATAATGATTTCCTTTTCTAGCCCTTCTGTTAAAGATTAGGGTGAAGAATTACAGCCACAGGCCTGTAATTACAGCATCTGGGAGTCTGGGACAGGAGGATCACTAGTTGAATCCCAGCCTAGGCAACCTAGCAAAAACCTGTCCCAAGGTAAAAATAAGAAAAGAAAGGGCTGGAGATCCAGCTCAGTACCAAGGCCCTGGGCTCGGTTCTAAGTATGGGTGCAAGGGAAAGAGATCCCAGGTGAAGTTTGTAATATTTGAATCCTAGCAGGAAGAACTTGGGAAACTGGTTATTCAGTTTCACTGGGTGGTGGAATCCCATTGAGGTTTAAGTATAATGAAGGACATGGTTCAGATCATTGATTCTAATAATTTTGTCTGCCTAAATGAAATAATAAAGGGGGCTCCTCCCACTGCAGTACTAAGGATTAAACCCCAGACCTTCAAACTGAGCTGCACTCCCTTCCTTCCCTGTTTTGTTTTTGTTGGTTTCTTTTGAGACAAAGTCTCTGCTAAGTTTCTGAATTATCCTGGCTGGCACCAGGCGAGGTGGTGCACACCTGTGATACCAGCACTTGGGAGGCTGAGGCAAGAAAACTGCCATAAGTTTAATGACAGCCTGGGCTACACAGCAAGACCTTGTCTAAAAGAAAATAAAAGAAAGTGGCCGGGGGTTTAGCTCAGTGGTACCGTGCCTGCCTCAAAAGCGCAGGGTCCTGAGTACGATCCCTGATACAAAAAAAAAATATATATAGATATTTATATATGGTAAAAAACAATTTTCCTTGTTGGTCTGGAACTTGCAGTCTTTCTGCCTCAGCCTCCCAGAGTACTGGGATTACAGGTACGCACCACCATGCCTATTTCTGACATTTTATTTTTATGTTCTATCTCATATCATCTATGAAACTAAAAAGACTTTGTCATAGTTTTCTTCAGAAGCAAGAAGAAACCTGGACGGTTCCTCGTCCCTGCCTCCTGTCCTCTCTCCAAACTTTATCATTCATTAGCAAGGCTGATGGGGACCCACTTTTTTGTTTTTCTTTTTTTGGTGCCAGGGTTTGAACTCGGGTCCTTGCACTTGCGAAGCAGGCGGCGGAACCACTGAGCTAAATCCCCAGGCCCGGGACCCACTTTTGAAAACCTGCCAAGTTGTAGAAACCTGTAACAAAATGTCACTTCCTTCCTCCCAGACTTAAAAGAAAGTAACCTCAGAGTCAGCTGCCTGCAAACCACAGATTGTCACACTGCAATTGTGACACAGCCTTCCCCTCCGGACTTGCCTCGGTCCCCTTTAACTTTCCTGGGTTCCTGGAAAGCAAATCTCCCAAGATCCTTTGCCTCTTTCCCCATTGCTTCCATTCCCTTCCTGCTCCCTTTCTGGCCTTCCTGCCTATTTCAGGAGTCAGGCATGGTGGGCCCATCTGTAACTGCAACACTCTAGGAGGCTGAGGCAGGAGGGTTGAAAGCTCAAGCCCAGCCTGGGTAGTTTAATAATTTAGTGAGATGTTATCTCAAAATGAAAAAGCAATTGTACAAAGAGCTGGGGGTGGAGCTCTGTGTGGACGAAGGCCCTGGGTTCAACCCCTAGTATGGACCAGGGGTGGGGTTCAAATAGGTTTTTCCACACACTGCCCACCTGCACGGCTGAGAAGTGGGGTCTCTAAGTCCCTGCTGGCTAAGGCCTTGTTGGCAACAGATGCTCACTGAGGCCCTGCTCTGTGCCAGGTCCTGGGGGGAGGAAAATGAACCATTATGGACAGAAGGAGCCTGAGCCCCCCACACACAGCCAGAAAGGGGCTGGGTGTGACCAGCGGCTGTCATACTGTCCCCACCCCAGGACTCTGCTGCCACCTCTCACAGGGCAGCACAGAAAGACACCAGGGCCCAGGACTAGTCCCCAAACCCCTCAACCCCAGTGGGCCGTGATCAGCACCCCAGCTCCTCCTGGAAAAGACACCAGAGCTGCTGCCGCCATTGCCTCAGCTCTGCCCCTTTCCTGGAAGTGCAGGGACTGTCTCCCGAGCTTCTGCCCTAGGGCCTTCTGGAGGATGCAGCCAGCTGCTACAGCTGGGAAAGGACTGTGGTCCCCAGGCCTCCCCGTGACCCACCTCCCTGAGCAGGGAGTCTGTGCCCGAGCCCAGCTGCCCCTCGGTAGCAGCCCGGGCCTGGTGAATGAAGCCTCCCTCCAGAGTGTGTCCTTGCAGGGGACTGTGTCTCTCTCAGGCAGGATTTGAGCAGGCCATGCGCCCCAAGGGCATGTGACACCAGGGGCTGTGACCCTTCAGGAGCTCCAAGGACAGCAGGGACCCCAGGTCTGTGGAGGCCAAAGCCGAGGCTGAGTCCTGCGGCCCAGGCCACCTGGACTGAGGCTGGGAGGGAGGAGGCGAGGTCTGAGCTCTGCACAGCACAGGACCCAAGAGGCAGCAGGAGTGGCTGTCGAGGCTCCAGGAAGCCACTGAGGGACCGCAGCCTCAGCTGTGGTGGCGCTGAGCAGGGTGGTTAGAAGCCACCACGGCTGAGACACAGAACTGCGACAGCCAGGGCTGTGACACGAGGAGCCAAGGGCCGATGGCACTCGAGGCCCATGCTGCGGAAATAAGGGCTGGGAAGCCCTGGCAACCAGAGCTGCAGCCAGAAGCACCAGGGGAGCATCTTTGCCAACCGCACATGCCCAGTGCAACAGCAGAGATCCGCAGCCAACTCGCAAGGCGGGCTCACGGATCGTGGGAAAGGACGCTCTGGTTACCTCGGGCGAGACGGCTGGGCAAGGACTCCGACCGCTGTGTGCCACGCAGCTTTCTCTGTGTTGGCTAAACAGGAACTCACTTAATCCTTACCACAACCCTAAGAGGCTGAGACACCCGGTCAGCAGGGTGTAGTGCACCTCTCTCATCCCAGCACTGGGGAGGCTGAGGCAGGAGGGTCATTGCCAGTTTGAGTCCAGCCTGGACTACATAGTAAGTTCAAGGCCAGGATGAACTACATAGGGAGACCCTGTCTCAAAAAACAAAACAAGGGGCGGGAGATTTAGCTCAGTGGTTTTCCCGCCTGCTGTGCAAGCGCAAGGACCTGAGTTCGATCCCCGGTACCAAAAAAATAAAAAATAAAAATAAATAAAAATAAACAGAAAAGAATAAGAAATCTCAAAAAATAAAATAAAATGGTGTTGACCACCTACAGCCCTAGAAGCTGTGAACAGTTCCATGTGAGGCTTAGCCAGTAACATAGTGTCTCCATGCAGCTGATTTTTAGCATTTGTGAGAATATCTTAGCAACTGTTGTGAAGATTTGTTTCTCACTGCCACGATAGAGTAGAGACAGACACGGCTCTCACAAGCATCTCAAAAAAATTACAAGAATTATCTCTAGTGGAATTGCAAAAATAAGTGTGGTTTTTTCTATTTTTCTTTCTTGTTATTTTTATTTTTATTTTTTGGTACTGGGGATTGAACTCAGGTCCTTCTCCTTTCAAGGCAGGTGGCAGAACCACTGAGCTAAATCCCTGGCCCAATTGTCTGAATTTCTATCAGTGCTGTGTTAGAAGGCCCCGGAGGAGATCAGTAGTCAGAACAAGGGTTCTGGAATGCATATTTGCTCATGTTCCCTTAGTCAGACTCATCCCAGATTGGCTTCCCAGGGCTGCCATAATTACCACAGTCTGCATGGCTTCCAACAGCAGAAATCAACCGAGCATGGTAGCACACACCTGTCATTTCATTCCAGCCCTCAGGAGGCTGAGGCAGGAGGATCGCTGCAAGTTTGAAACAGCCTGAGCTACACAGTGAGTTCAAGGCCAGCCTGGACTACACAGTGAGACCCTGTCTCAACAAACAAACAAGCAAACAACCCAAAATGTGTTCTCTGCAATTCTGGAAGCTAGAAGTCTGAACCTGGGGTGTCTGCAGGGCGGTGGTGCTTCCCACTGCTCCAGGAAGGAACCTTCTTGCCTTTCTCTAGGTGTTCAGGCTGGTGGGAGCCCTGGGCACCAAATTCCTTGGCTGGTCGGACAGGTCGCTGTGAGCCAACGGGCTGCAGCCTTTATGTGACCGGGTCTGTGTCCAGCGTCCCCCCTCTCACGGGGGCACCAGCTGCAGGG